ACATGGTGAATATTTTGCGCAAATGATGCTATATAGTTAGTCTAAAGTGTTTAACATTTCTTATGTTTTAGATCATTTGTGGATGTAAAAAGACTATCTCCTGTTAAGTTAGTTTCTTGTCCAGAGCATCTTGAGATTGAAATAAAGACAACAATTCAGCATGCCTTGACCGACTTGATCTAGTTTCGTCAAGACGTCTGATGACATTTTGAAAGAAACGATGCCCATTCAGTCCAGGCATTCAGTCATATCAATAATAGTTATAATACATATTGCATAGTATAAAGTAACAATAAATATAATAATACAATAGTATATTGTACTGGTACGCTATTATGTGAGAAATATATTTGTGCACAAAACATGAGGGATGCAACTTAACTGGTTACTTTGAAGATTAATATAATTTCAAAATATTACAGTAAATGTGATATTGCACAGTGGCACAATTTTGACTCAATGGTTAACTGACTCAGTCACAATCTGCCTAATCCAACTAAAGTCGACCGCTTTTCTGCTCAAACGTAAAGCAGCTGTGTCTTTGTTGTTGGAAATTATTTTCTTCTGTTTTCCCATCCAAGTAAAACTAGCCATCCTCGTAGCCATCAATAGAACCACAGCTCATAATTGCCAATTACACCTATCGCTATCTATTAAAAACAAAATCAAAATCATTTTGAGTATTGCGAATTATTAGGCTATGAATATGCTTGTGTTTATAAACGTTATTATATTGTTTGTCACGCACAATCCAGTTTATATAATAAATATTAAGTTGCACACACCAAATGTGTTCAAACAATCAGACACAATAGTCTATACCGAGGCGAGCACAATAGGCCTACAATATAAATATAAATATACATGCAATAAAAAGGATCTACTTACCACTAATTTTACAGGTATTGTACCATCGCTTGATTGCTCCAACATAGTCACAGATGGTAGTTGCCTATATCTGCAGCGGCGTTAATGTCTCTATCATTCGTCTAGTGAAGCTGTATAAAAGCTGTTTGGTTCATCGTCGTATTTCAAAGCCGACTTAGCCGAGTCCATACTCGCTTGACTTCCAGATGTAGTACTGACCTATTATCTGAGTCTATAACCGTCATTCCGCCGTCAAATAAACAATAAGATATAGCACTTGTTCTTCGGTTTTTAAAAATCAGTTATCTGCGCCATAAATAAGTGAAATAGACAAAAATTCCACTGCAATATGTTGACGCGCCATATAATTTACTACAAATACGACCTTCATATCTTCGTTTCCTATTCATCTTATGACGTCACACGGCATCAATATTGCGGCGGAAAAGTTCGCACGCGATAACCAACTTCAGAGGTTAAATTTGACAACTTCTGAGCATCGCATGATGGTCAAATATATATGAAAGTGCTTCTAAAAGACTGAATTTTTATTTAAGCTAAAAAAACTAGGTCCACTGCAGTAGCACTTTAACTATAATCTATGTCTAGAAAATAATGGTCAATAATCGTGACTTTATATATTTCAATACATCGAAATCATCCCACCTCACATCTCGTGTTATTTCGAGCGCATACTATTTAATGTAATTGTTTGGTTAAATAAAGTTTCTAATGTAAGTCCGCAAAACGGAAAAAAATGGCGGTTCCCGTATGGCTGCAGCCATAGAAATATTAGACCATCTATTATTTCTATGGCTGCAGCCCCCGCCAGCTCGTACGTCTATATATGGATACGAATATTACTAGGCCAAAAAACAAAAAGCTGCGAAGTTTCTTTCAAATGAGAACAAAAAACCACTTATTGCCATAAAGTTAAGTTAAACCGTGGCTATAAAAATTAGATCATATTTCACACGCGTGCACGATCGATCGTTTCATTTCATTTCATTTCATTTCAGAGTTTCGTAATGCCTGGGCAACAAATTTCAGAAGTTGATCGAAGAAAAATCGACGTGAAGTTCCTCTGTTCGAAATGCGAGCTGTTGCTGAATGAACCGATGCAAACCCAATGTGGACATCTGTTGTGTAAAAGCTGTCTTCAAGTTATTTTGAGGTAATTTGGCCGTCGTTGTATTTGTTGGTCACAGACTGCTGTCTTATATAGCGGAAATCGATTGCTTAAACAATGGCAACAAAATTTTTTATTGTCTATATATTAATACCGTGTCAAACATTTTTGTTCCGGAGTTATAAGCATGTTATTTCACGGTTAATTTATTAATTTATTTTACACTATCTCTAATCTCTTGTCTGGGAAAATCCCATACTGACCTTGAATGTCAATTTACTAATTTGCGCAATGTCTAACTTGCGCGACACTACACATTACAGAAGAAGCAAATCTTGTTTGTGAGATAACAGCTATTTCACGAGCAATGTCGTTTGAAAGCCTACTCAGTTTTAAAAGCAATTATTATATATAGTTGTGAAATCTGAAGCTAAATTAATATATTATGTTGTTGGCGTGCATTACATGATTAAGTTCCTGTCATGATTTCGATTCAGCCTTGTATAAAATTCGTGCAGTCAATTGTTTTTCAAAGGTTTTCAAATTTAACGGCCAGTGAATTCTGGCACGAGATTTTAAAATGCTTCGTCTACGGCTGGTGGGCCTTATAACAAACGTACTTGCAGGGAGGTGAGTCCGGGATTGGACGCACTGAGGGTGGCTGGAAGTTTCCCGAACTTACCGAGCGAAGCGAGGTGAGTTCGGGAAACTTCCAGCCACCCGAGGTGCGTCCAATCCCGGACTCACCG